TTTTTTTTTTTTTTTTTTTTTTTTTTTAAACAACTTGATATAGTTGACATGACAATAAAACAAATTTAAGCCGAATGTAATTTTTCTTTGTCTTAGTCAAATTTTTTAATTATGATAGTATTATTATTATTGAATCTGCATTGAGATTAACGTTACATGTACGATTTAATGACTGGAGTAATCACAACGCAGATCCAACGGTAATTAGACCCATCATATCTAGATTTTGGTTAAGATATTTTGATCACATGATTAAAGCTTGGTTCAAATTTTTTAATTATGATAGTATTATTATTATTGAATCTGCATTGAGATTAACGTTACATGTACGATTTAATGACTGGAGTAATCACAACGCAGATCCAACGGTAATTAGACCCATCATATCTAGATTTTGGTTAAGATATTTTGATCACCTGATTAAAGCTTGGTTTGAGACAGCTTTAGCAGTGCTTTGCTCAAAATGCAACCACAATTTCTATTTGTTCACTATTTTTTTATTGCTTTTAATAAAATTTTATTTTAGAAAGTTGTTCTCTACAACAACTTGAAAAATCCTCTTTTTCTATATCAACTTAGACTTTGTTTGTGAAAGCTTTCTTATTGCTTCTTAAAGCCGCTTTTTAAGTCAAAAATTAAAAATATTGAACTAGAAAGCCACTTTAAGAAGTAATAAGAAAGCCGTCCCAAACGAGGCCTTAAAAACCAATGAGAAAGCAATCACAAATGAAGTCTAAGGCTTTGTTTGGGATGACTTTTTTGCTGCTTCTTAAAGCAGTTTTTTAGTTAAAAAATTAATTTTTTTTTACTAGAAAGCTGCTTTATGAAGAAGCAAGAAAGCCACCCCAAACAAAGCCTAAACCTCAAAAGGCAATATGTTGAAGCTATGAGAAAAAAAATTGTTGTAAAATGTACCTGAATGTGCACCAAAGTTCTTGAATTTACTCTAAGATTAGTACGATTTAGAATGCCATATATAACACTAATCTCAACACAAATCTAATATATTTTATATTAGATTATGCTTAATTTTTTCTTCTCATAGCTTAATCATCTTTGTGATAAATTAACGAGGGATTTACATATAAAAAAATGATCATTATTATTGTTATGTAAATGAGCGGAAGGCATAGGGAAAGGTAATGTCTAGTTTTGAGAGTGGGACATTTATCTACATTTATTGACTCGATAGTTGGGCGACAACATATGTTGTTAGAGAATGAGATGATTGTCATTGAGATTAAGGCCTCATTTAGGACGACATTCTTACTGCTTCTTAAAGTTTAGTTCAAAAATTTTAAATTTTGTACTAAAAAATTATTTTAAGAAGCAATAAAAAAATCGTCCCAAATGAAACCTAAGATATCAATTCACAGATATTACTAGTTGGTGAAAGGTGTTGATAAGCATCGAGATTAAGATGTTTGTTTGCCTATGTTTGTCAATGACTAAAGCCAATGGCAATTATTATGAGTAGGACATTGATTGGTGAGAATATCAAGAGATGACAAATGGTAAACATCTTGCAAGTTTGGTAGCACATAGGAGGTCATCTAGTGGCCCTATTAGCAATCAAGGCTTTATAAATTTCTAACTTTGGAATGTCTTAGTCTACCAATGTTAAAAGATAAGAGAAAAAAAAGGTAGAGTTAAATGTTTCAAATGGATAATTCGATCATTTTTCATAATTTTTTTTGAATATTTTTCATTTTTATAAACAAGAAATACATCATATCACTCTGTCACATAGTTGATAAGTGATTAGTCAATCTCTATATTGGGTTGATCCGATCAACATACTCAAGCCAGCCAACTAATTGATAACTACTGTTGATGACCTGATGGTAATGGGATGACACCCAATAGTGATTAAATTGGCGGCCACATTCAACTCTTCACTTGACTTGATCATGATCGGGGCAGGTCAAACGGGAATCATAACTAGCAAATAATAATCGCCGTAAAAGAGTAATTTGTTAAGAATAGAGAGACCACTTAATTTCTTGCTCAAAAGATCGCTTATATATGCTGAATCAACTCTTTTAATTCTGTCACTTCAAATTTTGAGCGTATTCAGATATATTTCTTCAAGAATTAAAATAGCAAACATATTTCTTCATTTTTGTGTATTATGAGATATATAAATTAAAATCTCTATGTTATTCTTCTATTATAAAGTGCTAATTAATGCTTTTTAATACTAATCATCATAATTTAATTATAAAAATTCTATCTTAACTTTTTTTTCTTTTTTAACTCATTGAAATTAAGGAGAATCTATTAGAACCATAGATTATTTGAATCAATGGGCACGAGAAGAACATGGCGAGGAGGAGTCGAGAAGTTGTCAGACAGAGAAGAAGGTAGACCGCGTCGAATTAGCCAACAAGACTTCTTCGGATTAATATATTATGTCAAATAGTACTTGCTCAGCTTTCTTGCATTCACACGCTTCTTCTTCCTTCTTCTTCTTCCTCTTTCAAAGGAGTATTAGCTTCAAACACCCTTCTTTCCTTACTCCATTTACATCCCATCTCTCTCTCTCTCTTCTTCCTTCAACTTTTTAGCCAATCTGTCGCAGCAGTAGTAGTTGGGATTCTCAATGCCAAAGTTCTTGGGATTTCTCAGTCTCACCGAGCTCTTCCTGAGCTCCATAGTTCATTTGCTCTTTGGGCTTTACATATTCAGCACAGCCGTTGCTTGGGATCTCTCACAGGCTCTAACCAGCTTCTTTCGACCAACAAGCTTTAATGCCTCAGTGGAGGAAATCAGTGGAAGAAAGCCATCAATGGAGGCAACTATTGATGGCTCGGTTCCACCAATCGTATTGGTTCATGGAATATTTGGATTTGGTAAAGGGGTGAGTTTTTATTCCCACTTTTTCTCATCCAAATCCATGTCTGAAGAGAAACTAATCATGTTGAATTGGATTGTGTTGTAGAGGCTTGGAGGTCTCTCCTACTTTGCAGGTGCAGAGAAGAAGGATGGTCATGTTCTTGTACCTGACCTTGGCTCTCTAACAAGCATTCATGATAGGTATCTTATTGGTCAAAAACGTACAATTTTTTTTTATGATGATGACGAGTTCATAAAGATTGGACTTTTTTAATGAATTTCAGGGCTAGGGAACTGTTCTATTATTTGAAGGGAGGGCAAGTGGATTATGGAGAAGAACACAGCAAGATCTATGGCCACTCACAGTTTGGAAAAATCTATGAACAAGGTAGGATTTAAGATTGTTAGTCCCTTCTTGTCTAATATTGCTGGTATGTAATTTTGTTAACCTTTTTTACTTGTCTAAATCAGGGAACTATGCTATCTGGGACGAGCATCACCCAATTCACTTTGTTGGTCATTCAGCAGGGGCTCAGGTCATTCGTGTTTTACAGCAAATGCTATCTGACAAGGTACTAGCTAGCTACTCAATCAAAGCAAATTGTATTTAATTTCAGTCTTAGATCATTCTTTGTATAAATTTTCATGAATAAGCATTGAGGGGAACTAATGAAGCAAAATATTGTTAATTAAACAAGCAAAGATGGTTTCTTAGTCTTGAGAATTTAGTATTGTTCTCAGATTTTCGCTCTTTAGTCTTGATTCTATGTTTCAGCATGGTAAGCAAACAATAGTACTCAAACTGTTTGATGTTATGACTCAAGGAATTTGAAGGTTATGAGAACACCTCTGAAGACTGGATTCTGAGTGTGACTTCCTTATCTGGAGCACTGAATGGAACCACAAGAACTTACTTTGATGGAATGCAGTAAGTTTCGAAACTCAACGATCAATTTTAGGCGAAAATCTGCGATCAGATTCTTATTTATAAACTGTCAACTTACAGGCCTGAGAATTGGATGCTGATGAAACCAATATGCCTGCTTCAGATTTCTCGGGTTGGAGTCATCATCTATGACTGGCTTAACATTGCATGGCTGAAAAACTACTACAATTTCGGATTCGATCACTTCAACATGGAGTGGACGAAAACTGGCATTTTAGGACTTATAGATCTTCTCCTTGGAAACAGTGGACCTTTTGCTACTGGTGATTGGATTCTGCCAGATCTTACTATAGAAGGCACAATCAAGCTAAACAGTACACTCAGAACATTCCCAAACACTTACTACTTCAGTTATGCAACCAAAATGACTAAAAAGTTCATGGGAATCACTGTTCCTTCTAGCATTTTTGGAATTCACCCATTGCTTTTCATTAGAGTTCTCCAAATGACCATGTGGCGGCGCCCGGCTAACTTGCCCTTGCCTTACAAGGGATATAGGTGAGTTGGATTGCAGATGTAAGAGTTGATACTTGGATTGTTATAAGGTTTTTTCTGTGGAAACTTTGATTGATGAGTTTACTGTGAAAATCATGGCAGAGATGAGGATTGGGAGCATAATGATGGAGCTCTAAACACAATATCTATGACGCATCCTCGATTCCCTGTGGAGCACCCATCCCATCTTGTTGTGGATGATTCAGAGTGTTTCCCTCTTCAGCCTGGCTTATGGTGCGTTTTGTTCCGTCTTAGCTCAAGTATCATAAATTTTTTTGTTCTATTTTGGTTATATTAGCAAACATATTAGAAGTTTTTAGTACTAATTATTGGACTAAATCTGGAATTTGATCATTTTAATCAGCTAGCATAAGAACACTATCAGGTAGAATACAATTCTTTCAACTTTTGACAGTAGAAGATCTCAGGAACTTGGAATAGAGGAAATTAAAGGAACTTCTAGAATCATAAAATCCCTCAATTCACGGGTCTCGTATTTCTGCCTAAACATTTCTAATTAAGTCACTTTATCTTCTATGCAAAATGTTCTGCAGCTTATTTACTCTGACAACCAAAGTTAATTCATCTAGTTTTATTAAATAAAATGCAAGCAGAAAAGGAGATGGCAAATGAACAAATCAAGGCATGCACTTCAGTTAAATGCAAGCTATCATAGAAAAAATGTACTGGGCCAGCTCCAGCTGCCAGAAAATTGACATGCTTCCTTAGTGGTTGATGCTACTAATCATTAGATACTCGCAAAATCACTTTTTTTTTTTTCAGAAAAGAAAGCAAATGCAAGAGAACACCAATTTCATGTGCTTAGGGCATTTCCAGCCGAACTCCAAATGACTGTAAGGTGTAGCTGGTTTGCTCCATTCGAAAGGCAAAAAAATCGCTAATCGGTGGAGGGTGAACAGTGTGACGCCAATATTGGTATTTCACTGTTCACCTATGTGATTTTTTGTCTCAACCGGATTTGCCGAAGAAACGCACGAAAGAGGAGAAAGACGGTTGCCTTCGTAGAAGTGCGCAAAATGGAGTTCGATGAATCACGACATTTTTTAGTTTCACTGCATTTTGGAGTGAAAAATGGGATTTTCTGTTGGAGATGCCCTTAAGCAACCACTTTTGAAGGAAAAATGCTATGCTTGCCAAAGCAATAGCCTAAAAAAAAAAAGTTTTTTTTTTTTTGATGTATTAGACATTCTTCGCAGCCAGCGTAAAACTTGTCGAATAATAATGACATGAATCCTTTAAGAAATTAGACATTCTTCATTAGCAAGATGACAACTTTATTAGCAAGTTCTGATGACTATTAACATGCTAACAGACTTCACTAATATTCTGACAGTTTTCATTAACATGCTATCAACTTTTATTAACTTGATAAGGCTAGCTTCCAACTCATCAACATGAAATAAACTTGGATAGTGTTGGTCCCATGCAGGTACTACAAGATCATTGAAGCCGATCACATCTTCTTCATAATTAACAGAGAGAGAGCTGGAGTGCAGTTTGATCTCCTTTATGATGGTATCTTCCAACGCTGCAGAAAGCATGCATTTAGGACATCTCCACCACCAACGTTACCCAACCAACATACTTAATAGACTCATTTCTTTTCTTTTCTTTGGCTTTCCTTCTTTCAATTTTTCACTCTCCTAGATGTTAAGATAAGATAGGATGCTTAGATGTTCCATGCATTATGTAGAGATGGATACAGCTTTCGAGTTGAAGAAACTCCATTAATTTCTCAATGTTATTGTTGGATATTGATCAAAGATTTAGGATTGTACTTTCTTTAGTTTCTTAAATGGCTTATATTGTCATTGGTGTAGTTATTTGTTGCCTATAAATAGAAGCTATAGGATGTAATAATGTATATGACTAAGAAATAAAGATTTGAGTTCTACTGCTCGATCTCCTTCTCCCCTTCCCTCTCCCTCCTCTCGCAAGAAGCATTCAAGATTTTAACAGTTATCGTAGCTGTATGAACTGTAAAGATTGGTTGGTTCATATTTTATTGATAAATTTCTTCGAAGTTTGATTATTCAAGTACTGGATATATTATGATATGGATTTCTAGGAAAATTGACTTGTGGAAATGAAAAAATCAGTAAGTGCAGATTCATAGTCACACATAATAACTGGGTTTTTTTTGTTTCCTTTCCTTCATTTTTCTGCAATCCAAACCAAGTGAAAAAGAAGGAAGTGCTGTAATTTTTAGGCACTTAGCTGAAAAGGAAGACAACAAGCCCAAACCCTCTTATGCTTCTCTCTAGCATCGCATCCTTGCTGCTCATTCGAGTTAATATCTCTGTTGAGAGCATTTTGACTGTCATCATCGGCACCTTGAGAGCTTTATCTTGGTGTTTATTTGGGTTCTCGACATGAAATTTTATACTGAAGGTCAACTATTCAATGTAGTCCTCTATTTTTATCATTTAGGACTTTGGATTTTTATAGCTTTATTCAAAGTATGTGATTAAATTTTTTGTAAAATTATGTGCAATAGATTTAACTTAAATCTTTAGATAAAATTATCTCAAATTAGTAAAATAGGCTCCACTGTTACACTATTAAATTAGACAAAGCTAAAGCTTGTGGCTACATTCAATGGCATGCCAGGTGTGTTGGTCGGGCTAGTCGAGCCTACCAGGTGCGCCCGGGTTTCGACTGGGGCGAATTGAGAAGTCATTTTCTTTCAAAAAGATTGGCGTCAGCCCAAGTCATTTTCTTTATAAACAACTATCCCATTGAAAAAGGAAAATAAATTAAATTAGTAAAATTAACAAATTAGATTAATCTAATAAATATTTAAATTACTAAATTATGTCTTAGTAAAAGTAATAAATTAAATTAGTAAATTTATAAATTTATATATACTTTCAAATTTATTTCTGATTTTTTAAATTATTTATAGTATCATTTATTAAAAAAATCATTTATGATATATATAATATATAATTAAAATAAAAAAAATTAAAAGATAAAAACAAATAGTTAAATTATTTTTTTGGTATTTAAAAATTTAAAATAATATCATTCATTAAAAAACAAAAAAAAACAAAAAATATTAGAAAAAAGAAAAAAAAAGTCGTAAGTTGTGCTAACAACTGTAATGGCCAACATTCGACATCATAAAGCATTGCAGGTCTCACCACCATCTTATAGAATTTTCCCTTAAGTTTGAGGAGGAGTTTTCTATCGCACAATAAGCCCGATGCATTCCTCCACTTCAACCATCTAACTTGAATTATGCTGATAATATCCCCATCAATTTCATCATCACTCTGAACAATAGATTCAATATATCTAAAACATGTACTCTTATTAATGACTTGATCGCCCAAAGTCACAATCCCATCACTAGGTCTATTGCTACTAAAATTGCACTCTATATATTCAGTTTTAGATATACTCAAGCGAAAAACTTTAGACTCTAAAGTTGACCTCCATAATTTGAGTTTATCTTCAACTCCCTCTCTAGTCTTATCAACAAGAAGAATATCATCAGCAAAAAACATACACCAAGGTACATCATCTTGCAAATGTCTGGTGAGAACATCCATGACTAAATCAAAAAGATATAGACTTAAGGATGATCCTTGACGTAATCCAACCAAAATAGGAAAATACTTGGTCAAACCACCTTGTGTTTGAACACAAGTAATAGCTCATGCATACATTTCTTTAATGATTTGAATATAAGTGATACGTCCTCCAAAAATTATCTTGATCGGGCACGAATCTCAAACTAAAATCAAGTTGGAAACTTCCGAAATTAAAATTAGGAGCATATGAACTCCAATTTCAAAAAACTTATAGTCGAACTGAGCGTCTCGGAAATACGAACCCAACGACACCAAATTCGACCCAATCAGAGCCCAAATCAGTCCAAATCAAGGACCTGAAGCGCTGTTGGAAGGTTTGAACCACAATTTGGATTACCAAACGGTTTCTAAACATAACAAGCTTATACTCGAATCAAGCGGCTCGACGAGAAGAATCCAACAAGACCAAGATCACTGAATTCCAACATCACTAAGGCATTCAAATGTCCATCAAATGGTTCATGATCAAGGGATTCAACAACGGCCGTCCATCCAACCACTCCCAACTTGCCCTTGATCCTCCATCTATTTACGGGTCATGCCATTCTCAAAATCTATTAATAGAGCTCCCTCTCCTCTTGAAAAAGGACCCTAAGCCTAAGGAAAAAAGAGAGAGATCGAAGCAAGAAGAGAAGAAGAGAAGAGAAGGAAGAAGCTCATCCTTGACCACTGCCGGAGTTTCACCGGACCACGCCGGACCTTCGTCGGACCACCACTTGAGGCCCTCATCTCCACCGGATCACTGCCTGACGTTGTTCCTCCACCGGACCACCACTTGAGGGCCTCACCTCCGCCGGACCACCGCCTGCGTCGTTGCTCCGCCGGACCATCACTAGAGGCCCTCATCTCCGCCGGACCACCGCCTGACGCTGTTGCTCCGCCGAACAACCACTTGAGGCCCTCACCTCCGCCGAACCACTGCCTACGCCATTGCTCCGCCGGACCATCACTTGAGGCCCTCGCCTTCCTTGACCACCGTTGTAGTTTCGCCGGACCACTGCCGAACCATCGTCGGACCACCACTTGAGGCCCTCGCCTTCCTCAACCACCGCCGGACTTCCGCTGGACCACCACTTGAGGCCCTCACCTCTGTCGGACCACCGCCTGACGCCATTGCTCCGCCAGACCACCACTTGAGGCCCTCACCTCCGCCTGACCATCGCCTGATGCCCTTGCTCCGCTAGACCACCACTAGAGGCCCTCACCTCCGCCGGACCACCGCCTGACGCCGTTGCTCTGTCGAACCACCACCTGAGACCCGAACTTCTTCCGGACCACCACTTAAGGCCCTGTGCTCCATCAGGCCACCACCTGAGGCCAGGACTTTCATTGGACCACTACTTGAGGCCTTGAGCTCCACCAGAAAACCACTTGATGCCAGAGTTCTCACATAATACTGCCGACCTCCATCACCAGACAACGGTCTTTCTGACCCTAGTCTCCTGCCGACTACGGTCCTTCCGACCTCCATCACCTACAATGGCCCTTACAACCAAAAAAACATGTCTATATTGATTATTGTAACTCCCACCATGTAATGCGCTCTATATAACGTACATTTGTAACATCAAGCCAATGCCTTCTCCCTAAGAAGGGCCTCATTTGTAATCGACTGTAAATACTAGTGGATTCATTCAAATTGGGCTAGACCCCGTGGTTTTTTCCCTTTTTTAGGGGTTTTCATGTAAAAACTCTAGTGTCTCTTATGAACGCTACACCCTCTCACTTATCAGATTGAGTACTAGATCTTAGTACAATGCTAAGATGTTAAATTATATATTTCTCTATCGCCGCGAATACTCCAGGACACAACAATAAGTATCATTAACTCATTTCTTTTCAAGAACTCTCCATAGCACTTATCTTGAAACTTTATCATATGCTTTCTCTAAATCAATTAATATCATATGTAGATCCTCATTCTCTCTATATTTCTCCATCAAACCTCTCAATAAATGTATGACTTCCATAGTAAACCTACCCGGCATGAATTCAAATTGAATTTGAGAAACATTAGTATCATGTCGCAACCTACGCTCCATAACTCACTCCCATAATTTTAAATTATGACACATTAACTTAATTCCTCTATAATTCTAACTCATGTGCATCACCTTTATTCTTAAAAATAGGAATTAACACACTCATTCTCCAATGATCTGACATCTTTTTAGTTTTCAAAATATTATTAAAAAGTTTAGTGAGCCATAAAATTCGTTCATTGAAGAATAAAATTTTTTCGTTTTTAAAAAAAACTATATATTTAAGTTTATAATTTATCTTATTTATAATCACATTTATATCCGATCTAACGACTTGCTTTCTTTTTTAATTAAAAAAATATATAGTAGTGATGACAGTTGACGATTGGCGCCGACCGAACGATGCTCCAAGATGCTAGATAGATAACCTATATAGAAGATTATCCAAGACGACCTAAGATGTCAAATAATCCCAAGCATCACTCATAAATTTTTTATTTTGGTTTTGCTTTTACCTAATTAATTATAAATTAATTTTCTTTTAAAAATTATCAGGGTTTAGATCTTATATTCAAAGAAATTAATGAATTTATTAACAAATAAGAGCTTTGCATTCAAAATTTAAATATATGTAAATGATTTTAGCTAATTTACTTTTAATTATTTAAAATTATTTCTTTGCATTTAATTATATAATAAATACCACTATATAAAAAAATATTTCTATTAGACTTGCTTTAAAAAAAAATTTAATTTCATTGGTAGGGGCCGCGCGTACGCGAACCCCCCTAACACAAATTATGACGTCCACTCTGCCACTTGGGCAGATGGTAGATCAGAGCATCTTCAAAGTGCAATGAAGACCTCTAATCTAGGCCACAGGCATTGCTGATCACCCGTTAAGACCCCGTCCAGGTAAGTATGGAGCAACGGCTTTGCAATTTTCATTAAATAGGCAAAAGCGGGAGGCGCTTCTGTAAATTAGGCGATGTGGGACTAAAATGAGACGCTACCATCCGTTCCTTTACCCGGGTTAACTAGCGTGACTTGGGGCATTTCACTAAATTAGGCATTCCGTTATGCACTGAGCAAGATTAATGAATTCTGAATAACTGATGGTGCTAGAAAGAATTAGAGATGTAGACTTTGGTAAAATTTAAAAAAATTTAATTTAGAAATTTTTTTATTATAAATATGAATTATAATTGAAATGTGATATTATTTGATTTTTTTTATTAAGTTAATTTAAGTTGTTGATTGAGAGCTGAATAATTGAGAAATTTGATGAATTAGATTGATAATTACTTTTGATAATATAGATGAAAAATGAACACCCTTACACTGGTTTTCAGTCTTTTGCAAGGGAAAAAAATAATGGAAAAGAAAATAGAAGGTTAATGGTATTAAAAATTGGATTGGATGGACAGTTTGACCAATTCAATCGTGAACTGGAACTATGATTGGTTCGATTTAATTTTAAAATTGTTTATGCATATAATTAGCAATAATCAATTGAAACTATTTTGTTCATTTTGTTTTTAGAATTTTTATTTTTAATATAAAGTTAATTTAAAAATATTAAAATAAATTATATATTGTTAATTAAATTATTTAAAAATATATTCTAAGTTAACCGTGCAGCTCAACAAGCTTTCGAACTCGAGCTCGAACTCGTAGCTCAATAAGCTCAACTTATGAGCTCATTAATGAGTCAAATTGGAGCTGACTCAGCTCACTTATACCACCATTGAATCTCTATTTTTTCAAGCTCAATGCTCAATCCAATTTTTAAAACCTTACGATCACAAATGAGCTTTAATCGAACCGAGCATCGAGTAGCTCGTTGAACGCTTGGTTCACTTGCAGCCCTAATGTCTTCTCTAATAAATATCATTAAAAATTTACTCTACATGAGTTTCTCAAAAAAAAAAAAAAATCTTTGAATCAACATTCCTTGCATTTGGTTGAGAAGATGTAGCAGACTTCTGTGGTAGAATCAGGTAGAACAATCTTAATTCAACACTTAAAATTCATTGGAGCATCCCCATCCATTTCGTCCCCAAAAATACTTAATATCTATTTTGGGTATGAAGTGAGATAGACTCTCAGTTGAGGTGTCAGATTCTATAAACTCTAACACCTCATTTTTCTTACCACCTCAATTTTCATACATAGATTATATTTAAATTTAATTAAAATTTAATTGTAAAAAAAAAAAAAACATAGATTATATAGATCCGTTTATCCTATTAGGAGAGTAAATGAAATAGATTTGACTTATGTTAAAAAAAGTAGAGATAAACCTAAAAAGACTTGATAAGAAAATATTAGAAATGACATTTCTTTATTAGGTTTAAATGAGAATTTGACTCTTAATAGGGATTAATTATTCTGTGCGGAAGTCGAACGTCATCTGGAGACCAACCAGAATGCGCCACGTCACCGCTTGGTCGGTACTGCTGACGTGGCACATTCTGGTTGGTCTCCGAACGGCGTTCTTCGTCTGGTCTCCACACATAATTATTTCTCCTTAACATGACACACTAGATAAAAAAGGATTCATATAACCGACCTCACATAGTGGAATAAAGACTTAATTTTGTGAAGCGCATGCCGTCAAAGGCCAATGGCTGGAACTGCTAACAACATATTTCCAGCTCTTTATTGCTGAAATGCCGCAAGAGCTTTGTACCCTTAAGAATGGTGGTATTGCCCCTTTGACACTCCGATGATAGACGAACCTACTGTGATTCATCGGGATCTACTTCGTCCTCTACAAACTGATAAACTAGTTCGGGAACAATTTCTCGACTCCGACGAAGAGCGCCTCCTTTATCAACGAGCCTACATATCTAACTCCGATTTTAGAATATAACAAGGAGAAATCACTTCCACAATCACAATCATGACAATTTTAAGGTTAAAATAAGACCTTTCGTTGATGGTCACTTGCACATTGAAGACCATCTCAATTAAGAGTGGGTCGTAGAGGTATTTTTAAGTACATAGAAATCTCTCCTAAGAAGCAAGCCAAATATGTTAACCTATAATTGAAAGGGGGCATTGACGCTTGGCGGATCTAATTAACTCAAGCTCAGCATATAGACGCAAGAACAATGCCAAGAATTTGCAACAATGAAGCAATCTGATTACGAGCAAACGCTATATCTATGATATCACAAGTATTCACAAGGCAGTCAATTTGTTAGTGCCTATAAGGAGGAGTTTTATCGGCTTAGTGCCCATAACCATCTCAATGAGACATCAACAATTGGTAGCACACTATATAGGAAGGATTTGGGCTCATTCTCAAGTCATTAACTTTGCTTATAAGTATGAAAAGTATCTCAACTTAAATCCCAGGAGTAGGATGCTTCATAAACATGTTATCAAGCAGCATATGGAAGTTGGTAAAGTGGCTACTCAAGCAAAGCAAGTCGGACTACATTCAATCCCAATCTTCGACTCCACCGACCACTAATATGGAATTGAAAGTACGTCCTTAGGTTGAACACAACATAGACAACATTTATGCCAAACCGGAACCACCTAAGTGCTTTTGATGTTTTCAACCCGAGCATAAATCAAATGAATGCCCCCAATAAATATCGAGTACAACTCGACGACAAGAAGATCAAAGATAAGGACACTGCATGCCCACTTGGCAACGAGGTTGAAGACTTGCAAAGTAATGAAGAGGTATTATTGTCCTACATTTTACAAAAGTCATGCTAACTCTGCGGCAACCCACGAACACACAACATAATGTCATCATCAAGACGCAGTGCGCTATTAACGACAAAGTTTGTGATATATTCGTTGATAGCGGCGGAAAGAAAATTTTAATTTCCGTCGATGTCGTTAAAACTCTCCAATTAAAAACACCCAAGCATACCCATCCATGCAGGATAAGCTGGATCAGAAAGGGAAACAATGTCACAATGACTGATAACTATAAGGTAACTTTTTCTACTAGTAAAAAGTTTATATGTGATGTTTATGATGTGCAAGATATGGATGTTTGCCACTTAATTTGGGACATCCATGACAATTTGAAATGGGCACTTCTTTAGCAACTACCTCATAAGGGTCCAATACAGCATCAAATTGACTTTATTTCAGGCTCATCCCTACCCAATTAGCCGCATTACAAAATGAGTAAAAAAAAGCACTAAATATTACATGAAATTATGAATGATCCACTCAAGAAGTAGCTCAGCCTACCCAACCCAAGTCCTATTGTGTAGGCACTAACTGTGCCTAAGAAATATAGATAATGGCATATATGCATTGGTAGCAGACGCCTTCAACAAAATTTCCATTAAATGCCACTTTACAAAGCTATGTGATTAAAAGAACCATTTGACAAACTCCACAGTGTCACTATCTTCTCCAAATTGGACCTGAGCAGTGACTACATAAACACATGAGGGTTTATACAAATGGCGATTCATGCCCTTTAGGTTGTGTAATGTGTTGAGGACATTTAGGTGTTTACTGAATGGGATGTTAAAACCTTAGCCATTTATGCCTTTTTTATTTTGATGATATACTAATGTCCAGTACTTCAGTTCAACCACGGCAAATCATTCATACCATCTTGAAATATATTTAATATTTTCAAAGAACAAATTGTATCTCAATTTTTTGAAATGCCAATTTACTATCGCACAAGTTAACTTCCTCGGCTTCAACATCAATGCTGAAGGCATTGCGAAGGATCCGCAACGAAATTGAGGCCATTTGATCTTGGCTGACATCAACTTCCATGATCAAAATTTGTAGCTTCCACAGGTTAACGAATATCTATCGGTGTTCCATCAAAGGGTTCAGCTCCATTATAGCGTCTATCATTAATTGTCTTAGAAAGAAAATTTTCCAGTAGGGGCATCAGCAACAACAAAGTTTTGATACCCTCAACACACACATTTTACACAACACTAGACACTAGTACTTGTCATTCCAGACTCCAAAAGACCATTTACATCCAAACATACGCCTCAACAGTGGGTATAAGGCCTGCTTTATCGCAAGAGGGAAAACCCGTCAAAATCTTCAAAGAGAAACTTAGTTCAAAGTAGCAATGTTGGACTGCCTATGAACAAGAATGTCAAGCTCACTTAAACAATGTAATCATTATCTTGTACATCAAGAGCAAATTTTATTTAGGGATCATCCATCTCTTCAACTAATACAATCACAATAGAATTTAAGACATGTGCATGCCTATTAGGTAATGTTCCTACAAAAAAATAAAGTAGGGGTGTCAATATTTGACACGACCCGAAAACCTGACACGAAAATTCCGAGTTAGGGTCAACCAGGATCCGAAATGGGATGGGTTTGGGTTCAACAAATCGACCAGTTTCAAAAACCAGGTCGGGTTCGGTCGACCCAAAAACCCGAAATTGACCCATTTTTTACCCAAAAATTGGAGATTAACCACTTTTTTTACCCAAAAACTAGCAATTTTTGGTTGGCCCCAGGTCATTCGAATTGTGTTGGGTTGATCCGGACTCAAACCAGGTCGGGTTCGAGTCCAAAAAACCGACCCGTTTGCAAAAACGGTTCAGGTTCGGGTTGACCCGAATATTGTCGGGTCAGTTTCGAATTCGGGTGATCCGAAATTGACACCCCTACCCCTAGCAAGTCTCCCTTCAAAATTGTGCATGCCAACCTCCCAAATTGCACCATTGATATCACAATTTTTCCAAAATCCAAAAATTATGCCACTGCATACTCGGCTAATAAATTTGATAATTGTTGAATGAAGTTAAAAAAAAATTGCATAAATGTACAAGGGTCGTGCTAATAACGCCGCTGAAAGACATTTAATATTGGTGATTTGGTGATGATACACCTTCGAAAAGAACACTCTCTCCTACCATTACCTACCCCAAGCTATAGCTTCAAAAATGATGCCTACAGCTCACAGAACTCAAGACCAGTTCTGATGATGAGAAGAGCAACTGATGCAGCTCACATTTGCGTTTTCTTAGCTAGCTCCGGCTCAGCTCACCATCCACCGTACAATTTCATTCATGTTTTTTTTTTTTTAATTATCGTTAAACTCTTTGCCGACCCCACATAGTGGGATAAAGGCTTGTTGTTGTTGTTGTAGTATCGTTAAACTCTTTGATTATATGATGCTTTAATTACGTAGCCTGTATTAGTTAAGCACACTATCCGATACTGGATAAATAGTGAGTATTGTAAATGCATGGCAGCTTTTTAGATATCGGAAAAAAGAAATCCCAATTGAAAATATTCCTGATTTTCATTCTTCTCGCTTGGCTACGTGGGTATCTATACTTAGTGCAGAGGATTAATCAAGTCTGATCTGAAAAGTCTGCACTGATTACTGACCACTAATAGAGACTGTTTTTGCTTATTTTCTAGCAATTATTAAATCGCATCAAGCAAGTACTGAAAAATTCAATGCAGAAAGCTTTGAAGAGAGAGGGAAGCATCAATTTGCCCAAAATAATCAGTTTTTCCCTGCCTAGTTCACAGAGGATTATAGCAGGGCATCAGAATCACCAAAGCACAAAACTAGCCCTGCAACATACATATATAACTGAAACCTAAAGACTGCTACCTCAGAATGATGTTTAAGTGATTTAAAAAGATTATGATGCTAAGTACCTGGAGATGATGAGAGAGAAAACACAAGTATCCCAACTTGTTGAATAGGTCTAGCTCATGTCCCCTCAGTGCTTACACTGTGATAACCAGAACCTGATTTGATTGTGTAGATATTGGCTAACTCAAAGAACTTTGCGATTCTTCTTGATACTATAGCCCTGTTCATATCTGCCATAAATTAGTATGTAAAATGTTAAAAGGGTAGTCAAGGCTTCATAGTCAATAAGAACTTTGGAACTGAATCGGGATCAAGTTCCCAACAGTCCTTTAACTTCCCAGACTGTTGATCAGTCAATCTAAATGCAGGTATTTGATGGGAGAATCTCAAGCATTCATCAATGGGTATCTCGATGTCAGCTACACTTCTAGTTTTAGGCATAAAAACATATTTATAGCCCTTGACCTTTGTCAAGGTCATCACTTTTATGTTGCATTTATTTCTCTCAACCACCTCTACCACACCGTAATCTGCAACATTTCCAAAATCTGTGGATGTCCATTTAAGACTCCAGTTACTAAATACAGCCCAAACCTCACCACCATTAGGATATATCTCAAACAAATAATTTTTCCTGAGGGACGTTGCATGCACCAAATGAGAGAAGGCGTGGGTTGAATCATATTGAGCAACTTTTGACGTAACCTTGAACCTTCCACAGCTGACAGGTAGGCCATTCTTTGACCACCATTTCTCCCCTTCAGTCTGAGGAGAGAACTCTAACCACTTCACATTTAATCCAGTCGTTCCGCACCCGACCGCACTTATCAAAGCATAGTAATTAGGGTACTCATCAATGTCACTATAAAGTGCCCAAATTTGACCTTGTCTAAACTTCTCCTCAGACCTTTCTTTTTGAAAGTTGAAAATTTCAAGATTAGTAGATTCCTGCCCATTAGAACTGGAGTCTTCAATTTCTTTATCTGAATTACCGAAAGCATGGTATCTGATATTTCTGCTGGCTGTTTCTAAAACATGCTGGCTAGGGCTCAACATTGTACTTTTAATTACATCACCTTCAAATTTATCTTCATTGACCCCAGCAGGCCTTGGACATGGATCCCCGGACTTAACATCCAAAACTTCAGTAATGTTAGCACTACCTGCATCAGTGATATTTACAACATTCTGAGGCAAAGCAGCTGGATCAAGTTCAAAAGAATCTCTTGGAATTCCTTCTCTTTCTACAGAAACTCTAAAATAAGGTACACAGTGGGAAAATTTAAGCAACTGCCCAGAGGGTACCACAGTGATTCCTTTATCCTGTGCTCGAGCAAAAAGGTACAGAAATCCTCTGACCTTGACTAAATGACTTACAGTGAAGTCTTGTCCAGATGCATAATCTGAGACAATTTCAACAAATTCGTATGAATATTTCCTAGGGCTCTCTTCAGTAGAGCTCCATTGCATATCCCAGTCTTTGAAAAGGGCCCAAACCTCTCCCTTCTTTGGATATATATTATATGTTCTTCCTCTACCTTTTTCACCACAAATCAGATGAGAAAACATCAGCTGACATTTTGTAGTACAAACCTTTCCCAGTTTGAAATTACCACAGGCAGTCGGCAATCCAGCTTTCACCCAAGCTTTTTCAGCTAAACTAGTAGGATTGTACTCTAACCAGGTATACTGCAACTTAAAACCAGGAGCAAAAACTTTCTGAATCAGAGCATGATACCTAGGCATTCCGTCGTCATCATCATATACCGCCCAGATCTGATTCACCACAAATTTACTTTGATCTCTATCCATATTGAAGTCATAAAATTCTGGATCAGGGTAAGAGAATGAATATTCAACTTGTGTTGTAGAAATTGCATCAGCAGCAGAATTGGCACTCGAACCCACTCCGATATGCTTGCTATTTTTCATACGAACTGTGTCCTTGCTTTCAGGCATCTTTCGTTTCTCTAGACCACTCCCTCCAGGTAAATTATCTTCACAAAGATCTTCATCTATTTGCTCCCCCATAATCTCACTGGTTTTCTTCTTCACACCATTGGTTGCTACCTCAGGAGACGAGATGCCCCGGTTCTTCGTGTTGTAAGATCCAACATTTCTTGACCTTTTAGGCGGGCGTACAAAATCATCTTCGCTCTCATCGTTATAAGTGTCATTCATCTTGCAACTTGTTGACCTCCGTGGATACCTGCCACTTGTGGATCCATCCTTGAGATCTGCTGGGGGAACCTCCATAACATTATCATTATGAGTGGATTCACGTTGAGCAGAATCTGAATAATTAAAATTGGCAGTTGTCCTCCTGCTTCTTATCTGGGATGCACCACGTGAAGAAGACCTCATTGCTGATTTCTTACCAGTTTTGCCACTTTCAGACTTCACCTCATTACCAGCCATAGCATCCCCACCAAACTCAGCCTTTTCTTCCTCGTTAGTAGAGCAACGTCCATGCTTGGTATCAGTTACAGATTTTGAAGGTTTTGATACTGTGGGATGCCTGATGACATTTTCATGTTCCCTTGCCCCTAAAGGATTTCCAAAATGAGTTTGGCTCCCCTGATTATAAGGATACCGAGCAGCAAAATCTGTCTGATGAAAACCAGTGTGTATCCAGGGGAATCCAGAACTTGAACCAGGAGGTGGAGCATTTTGGAGTCTCACCTCAAATGCATGAACTTTCTTAAGGCATTTCTGACATTGCACCTCCCTATTCAGAAGAGCTCGAGAATAGGAGAGTAAATTGTTGCAGTAGACACAAACAGACCAGAAATATTGGGAAGCAGATGAGTGCTGCTTATTATCCTGCTGTTTCATTCCGCCAGGTTGATTACTTGAAGAATAGTTTGTAGCCCCAGTATTGCTATTGGCGTTTTTAACATGCTGAGAAGGTTGCCAAGAAGACATGGTTCTCATCTGAACTCTTCTTTTCGAATCATAAACTTGGCGGCATGCATGATCAGATAGTACCTTATATGCTTCTCCAACTAGCTTAAAGGCAGCTTCAGCACCTGAAAATTTGTTCTTGTCAGGATGAAGAAGAAGAGCAAACCTACGATACTGCTTCCTGATCAATGCTTCATCAGCCGATGACTCCACTTGAAGAACTCCATAATGGTTTATCTGACCATTGACCAAGCTTTCGGCAGAGCAATGCACTTCACAAACGGTTAGCATGTGAGAGGCATTCTCAATATCAGGAAAGAGATGCAAAGCTTTAAGCAGAAGCTTCTTAGCGCCAACAAAATCTCTGATCTGCATCTTCTTTTCAGCAATGTCCTTAGCTCTGATGGCCTCCTCTTTGTTGCATTCCATTTTGCTATAATCACGGGAATCCTCTCATGCAAGATCAGCAGACCAAAATAAATCACACTTCCCATTCATGCATATTTTACTTTAAACCGACGAGAATAATACATCCTTTAGCCGGCAGCTTAATTTCAGACAACATCAAGAAATTGTTATAACCATGCATGCTGTCTGAAAACCAATTCCTCAGAGATCGCAATAGCTGCACAGGTATTAGGAAGAGCCTATGAGAATCTATGTGACAATAATTAAAAAATTTAAGCAACCACGCATATCCCTACATTTAAAAGTATAAAGCAAACAAGGATGAAGCCGATAAAAATAAATATTGATTTAGCTACTTGGAAATATGTAAAAACTACATAGATTTGCAATAATAATCATGAATAGTTAAAAATTCAGGAATGCTGAGCAGTGTAAATCCTATCACCAAGTTCTACCATACGTTCAATAATCAGCTTTAAGCAAGCTTTTAATTAAAAACTTAACAACAAGCTTGGTTTTAGTTTCCTATCAGTCATACGAAGGTTCGGTATTGTGTTTAAAACAATTTTGTTGATCTTTAGTTTCGCTTTTAATTTTATTATAATTTTGGATGTAACACAAATCAGAAAAATTTAAAAATTAAAAATTTTTACAGATCTATATGCTCTGACAAAAATATATATATAATGAAACATATGAAAATGTTAATTATTTATAAGGAACTTTTTAATTTATATATATATATATATATATATGCAGATAGTAATTTAAAATAATATTTGCCAATCCAAAGCACAAAAAATAAAATTAAGATAAGAATGTTGAATAAGTCAAACAAGGAATAAATAAAAATGTAAAGATAGACAAGTTGCCAAACTATAAATGATAAATTAAGAAGAAGACAAGATAGTGAAAAATAGATGAGTTTTGAGCAAGTACAACATAGGGTGGGTTAGCAAATGCACCCCAATAAATATGCCTAGATAAAATTAATATCGAGATATTAGGGGAAAAAAATAAAAGATGAATCAAAGGTAACTTGTTTAGAAGCAAGACTTTAAAAGGTTTATTTTGGGGCTCGCGTAGGGATGTGATGGTCCAAGAGAATGTTTGGCCAATTGATCATATAATCAACAAGTTAAGGCATCGCCACTGGCGCCTGGGGATCATCTATTACTAAAAACTAGCATAGTGACATCCACATGATATAACTCCAAATAAATTATATTAAATTATTAAAATTTAGCTTAGTATAAAGACCTTTCATATCTATTTAAGTAAAAATACGAAGAATAAGATTATTTGTTATTTAATCTCTTCAGAATTGAATCATGTTAAATTGATTAATCTCTTATAAGTTCACAAAAACATCAAAGAGTCCTAGGTCCTTCTCACCTTCGTTTCCCTCACATCTCATATATTTGCAGATGTCCACTAGCTTTACCAGAGACACCTTTATTGTTTTTTTTTTACTTGCCAACTTCCTGATCATCTTCGCCAAAGCTATACACCAACTCACTTCTCATCCTATCTGATTATAATGTTTTTATTATATTTTATGATGCTTATGTCAGTAAGACTTTAGAGTTAAAATATAAATAACATACTTATCTGCATTGGGTTTTAGAATTTTTTTATTTATTTACTTTTTTAATCATATTATTTTATACATGAAATATAAATTATTAAATTCAAAGGATTATCACCCCCCCCCCCCCCCCCCCCCAATTCTACAAAGAAAATGGTCCCTGGGATATTTGTAGGTTGTCATTTTAATCTCGGTTATCTAATATGTTCAATTTAATCCATTGACTACTCAAATATAATCCAAAATAGTTCCTTTATTGGGTTATTTGGATTAAATTTCAGAATCAAAGGACTATTCTATATCAAATTTAAGAAGTGGACTAAATTGAACATATTATATAGGTCCCAAATAAAACGGCCCCCATAAATAATCAAAAGATCAATTTTCACATTTCCATCAAATTGTGCAAAAAAAGATTTCACAAGTCAAGCGATATTCAACAAGCATGAATGAAGAATTAGGAAGTCGTAAATTCTTATTTTCTCCACAAGCTTGATATATATACCAACATGCACTCCAAACTAATCATTTGGCCCAAAAATATCTAGTTCCTGCCAAACTTTTATGCAAATGGTGAAGTATTATGTGGCACTCATGCTCATTTTTTTGAGGTCAAGAGCTTAATCTCATAATTTATACAATTGAGCAAAATTTTAAAGATCTAAGTATGCCATGTTGACTTTCCCCTAGATGAATATTACGGTGTGACAGACAAAGTGCATGGATCAAATACATAGAAATGATAAGCCATGACATTACCAAGGCATTGTTAATATCTTATAATAGAAAGGAATGGTCAAACATGATAGATAGTAAAATAAAATAAAATATGGTCCTAAGATTAAATAAGGTTATTTAAATAATACTAATAAATATATTTTTGAGAGTAAGATTCAAAATTTTAATATTTTGAGTTGTTCATAAGAAAGCTAGTGTCATGTAGAAAAATAGCTAGTGATATTGAAAATTTTTCAAAGTATGTGTTTGGGAAATCAAAATAAAAAACTCCTAATAGTAAACATAATTGGTAATAAAATCAAAATGCAAGAAAAAATAAATAACTTTGTTATAAAAATTAATTTAGATAAAAATGCTCGAAAAAATTGGAAAAGATATACAACGATGCAAAAAATTTAGCATTTCAGCGATTTATATAATATATTATGTACTAAAAAAATGAATGATGAACGCATAAGTTAGCCAAACAAAGAGATAGGAGAAGTAAAGATTTTGATAAAGTAAAGCGCATTAAGAATAAAGATTAAAAAGAATTTATTTTATAAAAGGATATTCAACATAAGTGGAGGAGATTTTTGATAAACTTTTCAATGAATGTTGAGATAATATGATCAACTTTAATGACCTTAGTACCCCTAAATGAAAATAGATGATTTTTTTTTATAATTGTATTAGTAGGGTGTCAATAAATGACCCAACCCATCAATCCGACCTGAAAAATTTAAGTTCAAGTTGACCTATTTAATAAATAGGTCAAGTTTGGGCTCATGTTGCCTCACAAACTTGTTTTTTAGCATAAAATGACCCGTTTAATAGTTTTTTCATTAATTTTTTTTCTTGTTGTTATGATCTTCTTACCTTTTTATCAAATAACTTAATCTATATAGGTGATAAGTTATAAAAAAAGTTGATGTAGGCAAGGGAGGGGTCAAAACAAAATGAATATTTTGTTCTTTGGGCTGCTTGTTGTCTCACGGTTTGGGCTTTGGCTGCTCTCGATTTGGTCCTTGGCTGCTTTGGTTTTGAGCTGATTTTTTGGGAATTAAGTGGTTCTAGCTCATAAATGTTGAGCTGTGATTTCAACTCATTATATTGGTTAGTTCTCCTACTTTTTAGCTCGTTAAGAGGAGTTAAATTATTGCCTCTTCCCTTTCTTGTGTCTCATTGGTTTCTCTTTATGATGTTCCCGTGAAATGGTTGTTGGGTGCTTGTGTGGGCTTTTCAATTTCTCCCCCAGGCTGTTTTCCCGTGACCTCTCCGGCCCGTTTCTGTGTTGGCTTTTCGGGTCCCTCTCTGGCTGTGTTCCCGTGGCTTCTCTGACCCGTTTTCTGTGTTATTTTTTGGGAGCTGTTTTGTGGTGTTTGGTGCCCTTCCTCTTCCCCTTAGCTAATTGGTTTGGTTGAGGATTTTATGTGGCTGTTTGGCTCCCCTTTCTCTCCTATAAATATGAAGTGTTTGTCTTGAAAAGAGTTTTTTTAGTAAGGTTGATATAATGTAATTTTTGGAGCCAAAAACCTGAGAGGTTTTTCTTCTTTCTTGAAAAAACTTGCGAACTTGTTCCACCTCTTCATCCTCCTCTAGGAAAGCTTGCAAGCTTGTCCTTTCTTCGTCTTGGTCTTCTAACCCCTTTCTTCTCTCTGCAAGATCGACGTCACTTGTATCCTTCTTCTCAATCCAAGAAAGCAACTTTATGTGTATTTTTATGTTTATGTTTGTGTCAAAGTTTGTAAGTCTTTTATCTTATAAAAAATTGTAGTTTGTCATATTTTTGAGAATTTGGTGTTATTTTTATTTCCTATGAAAGTCTTTGTTTTTGCTTGCAAAAATTTGGAGCTTTTCCCAAATTTTTTCTTACATCAAAATTTAACCAAGATGGGTTAACAATCCGGTTGAGATCATTCGGGTTGCTACTGAATCAGGTCCAGATCTATCTTTTTGACCTATTTATTAAACATGTAGGTACAAATTGACATGATTTTAGTCGAGTCAAACCCAAACCTGACCAATTAACTCATTTTGACACCCTCGTGTATTAGTAAAATCGAAGCGGGAGAGGATTTTAAAAAAATGAAGAGTAAAAAAGTAATTGAACCTAATGATATTTTAATATAAGTGTAAAAATATTTAGGAGATCAAAAAATTTCTTAGCTCGATAATTTTTTTAATATTATTTTGAATAGTAAAATATATTAGATGAGTGAAAGAGCATGTTAGTTCCTATTTCTAAAAATAAAGGTGAAGCATAAGAGAGTGCAAATTATAGATAAATTAAGTTAGTGCGTCGTACATTAAAATTACGGAAGAGAATAATTGAGCATAAGTGATGTACAAGTAAATGCTTAGAAATGAATGTAAAAGAATCTGCACGATTTCTTGGTAAGAGCAATAAGATTAGAATTATTAGCAAATTAAACGATCAAGTAAAGCATAAGAGCGGTCACTTCCGTTTAGGCTAAGTTGCACACTAAGCACTTGGATTATCAAAACAACATAGAAAATCAAGTCATGCAAATAGAATAGCCTTCAACAGAAATCCCTAATCTAATAATAAGGTTAGAAGCAAATAAAGTGCACTCAATCTTACGTTTATTAAGCTTTGGCGACGGCGAAGCAAAATCCTACGTTTACTAAGCTTAGGCCAAGGTGAAGTTCGGCTCCTTGTGAATCTACATCACCTATAAGATTAGGGGCATTAGAGAAGTAAATAAAAAGGGGAAGAAGTTCACCCTTATCAAAATCCGGAGACAAGTAGGCGATGTGTTGACGAAGTTTGACGTAGTTTCTCGTGGAGGCTCAATTGGAGGAGAAGAGATCTCTTTCAAGCGTCGAAGTGTTGAATATATTGATCCTTTGCTCGCATTGAAGAAACCTTCAAGAAAGAGGGGCTTCCT